TCTGGCGGGTCCACGCACTGTACCTGTCAGCTGACAAGTCTTATCGCTGTTTGTCCTTGAGTGTGGTGATGACAGCTCACACTAGCCGCAAACACTCGCATACCAAAATACGAAGTCAGCCATGTTACGTCAGTGGTTTCTGTTCCTATGACATGTATAGTGCTTGGAACCCTAACGACAACTATGACATGGCGTGCGAGTTTCTTTGTATTTCAGTTTAATGGCTTCATGTCACTCCCAAGTTAGTTTGATGTTATGTACATTATTAACATTACAGAAACTGCATATTCCTGCCAGTTTTAATGTGTATTTGGTAATGAACAAGTGTGTAACACTTGTCAAAGTTTCACACTTCTCTGGCCATTATCTCCATAACCGTTCAACTTTGAACATAGGTGTTTTGGGTTATATCGGCATAAGCAACACCCTCCTGAAGTCTGGCACATTCCTGCTGGGGCAACCTGTACATTCTGTCTATTAATATGTTTGAGGTATTTGGCAGTTTTCTGTACACATTTGTAATGTTATGTTTAATACAGTTGTCACAATTTACAACACTCATAATTGTTCACATGTTTGTATAATCATTAGATATCTGTCTTAGTGTAAAGTCATTTATATAGTGCATTAATTCATTGTTGTAACACAAAAGAGAGGCAGGTGGCACTTGAAAATATATTTCATGACATGTCAGTAGCTGTACAACATGCAGTTCCAAGACCTTGCAGACAATTAGATTACTCATGCAACAGATTATTGTGTTTCCTACTGAGGTAATTTGGCAACAGTGTGTCAATGATGTGGTATAGTGTAGAGAATTCTCAGGTAAAAATAATTTGCAGATCTGAAGATGCATAGTTTCTGGTGTTTTAATTATTTTGAATATGCAGTGGATTTGGAAATGAAGGAGAATATAGGACAGAGAGTGAAGTTTAGTTTTTTCAGTTGTGAGATAAATTCTGTATGAGAAGTATCAGCTGAAACAATGTAACAAGAAAATGACAGAGTACCTGAAGGAAAGCATTACTGACACAGAAAATGCAATCTTCTGAAAGCAGTTACTTCTTTCGTGATTTTTGCATAACTGATTGTACAGATATGCCATGGAATAAAGTGAATAGTAAGTATTTCAACGGTTTTCTATTAAAATGTAATATCCATCACGAAGGAACACCCCCAAAATAAAATTATTTGGTTGAGTGTTACGATCCAACTTTCTGATGTATTGGAGAGAACTTGAAAAACGCCTTAATTGGAGGCATGGAGTGTAAAATTACAGACACTTGTATCCAATGCATTGCTCACGTGTTAGTAAGAAAGTTAAGTGAAGATGAATTTGGTACAGCAGACCTGGTTGCCTGAAAGGCTGCAGACTGCTCATTTTGTGAGCGCTCTTATGTGTCTGTTGTAGCCAGGTGGAGGGAATGAAGTTGGGTTTTGTGTACTTATCACAGAAGCTTCTGTTTTTAAGATCTTTTATCCCACATCTCATTCATATTACACAGTGCACGGGCTTAACAGGATATCCAAATTTAGCGTCAGTTTCCACAAGTGAATAATTGGTATCAGACACAAGGACAAAGTGAAGGTTGTGTCTCCACCTCCAAAACTTATCCTTACCTGATCGTTAAGAAGAATTGACGGTGGATGTTTTATCCTGCTCACTTAGTGATGGTTTGAAATTCTGTGTTGTGTTAGTTTGATATGCTGAGGTGGCATCTGATAAGGAAACTGTAGGTCTAGGTGCAATTAAGGCACATTTTACAATTATATGACAGTCGTTAAGGAAATTAGAAATTTTGGCATGCATTTGAGTGAAGGTGTTGGTGTCAGTCATAAAAGTAAAAGCTGTAATTAAATCTCTCCTTTTAAAGTAAGTGTATAGTGTGTATGAAACTGTCCAGCATTTGGCAAAGAAGTCCAGAATATTAGCCCGTCACTTCTATGAAGAAATATTCACGAGGAGAAGGCTTACGGCTTCCAGAGGAAATATCACTGAATCTTGGAACTGTGCTGAGATACTGTTCTCTCACATCTGTGGATGTTGAAAGGTCTGTGCATGTAAACTTGTCCTGACAGAGAAGCATCACAACTTACTCCTGAAAATGTAGAAGAAAGACATTGTGACACTCCAATGCAAATCATGACCCAGAAAAAGTGTGGAGATGAGAACCTGTGATGTTTGCATACTTTGCCTTTTCAGAGCCCATTTTTGTGCTTCGAGAGCATAGTTTTGTAATATTTGGAGGACATGCATGTCCCACCCCCACCAATTTTTAATGCTTAGGAATTTGATGTCTGCAGATAAGTAATGATGTGCTGGCTCTAAGGGTGAGATATTTTTATATGGCAGTAGCTCATGAGTAGCATTTACAAACACAGCAGTTGTGCAGGATTTCATAATGTTATGGAGAAAATTGAATGAAATTCAGTGATGGAAATTTTGTATAGAAGTCGATCATTATGTTATATAATCATAAATTTATAGTTGCTGCTAATCTTGCTGTTAGGCTGAAACATATGAAGGAAAGAACACTTCATTGAGTTAGTTCTTCCCATACCTTCTTGTTCCCCTGCTCGATGTAGGAAGGAAATATTGAAACTGATTTTGAGAAAATAATTGAGAGAATTCAAACTTGACTGACCTGGCTGCTTACAATCAAAAGGCAGCTTTTTAGATGATGTTGAAGTTACCATCTATAAGAATATTGGATTTATTAATAGCTGACTAATTAAGTTACCATGACAGCCAACTCGTAGTTTTCATTCTCTAAACAATTCTTTTGTCTTATACAAACAAGTAATATGTTTCTGTAGTAAGATACAGAAACACTGATTTATATTACATTTTATATTGCATTGATATCACTTATGAGTGACACTAGACTTAACAATCATTGTGGTTTGGTGTGGGTAAGAAATGATTGCTCGTCTCCCTATGCAGATTAACTGTTAACGAGGAGCTTGAAAGGGATAAATTAACAACTGTAAAGTTGATGTGGTGCAGCCAAATCAGTTGGGATAAACACAGGCTAAATCTGGTTTATTGTGCAGGTTACTGAAGATCTTGACTTTTTTTTTTTAATCCGCTGTTCTTGAAGGAGGCTTTGCTACTGTTTCACTGAGAAAAGACTATTTCCCCTTGACCCAAGTGTGGGTAGTACAAAGATAAGCCCCCAAACTCTAGATTTTGCCATTAAATGGAGGTGGAAAGTCATATTCGAAGAATATTCTTTGGTATCATTGGATTGGCTGGGCCCAGACCCATTCTGTGTGTAGTGGCGAACAGACAAATTCTGTCCTTTCTGGGAATTGCGCCATAGTTTAATGAATGGGGTTATATTGACCTTTTTTATTGTGGTTACAAAAATGACTTGTGGCAAGAAACTATTTGTATAACATAAATATATATCACCTGAAGTATATAATATTCATTTGGTGCATTTAAAAGAAATACAATTCATCTGTATTCTCACACTAAGTTCTCTGGGCCAATGTGAAACAAATGAACTTATCTTACAATCTTTAGTATGTATATCGAGTCCTTTCAGAATTCTTTTTGTGGTTTTCAGGCTGAAACCTGTGGATGGGTACAGCCTCCCCATAAGTCATTCTTAATTTTACACATTATGTATGGTATGTGCATAAATTAAGAATAATTTGAATACTGCATATAAAAAATGCCATAGTTAACACTTTTGCCTGATCTTTTTAAAATTTATAGGGTGGTATGAACCAAGGCTTTTTAATTTTAAATGAGGCATTATTGTGTTAGAAGGGCAAGTTACTTTTAATGTTACCCTGTTTTAGGAGCAACGAATGGTTTTGCAACAACCAAATTTGTGGAGGATGGTCGATTTTAGAGCTGGATATATACGAGGTGCAATTGGGAAGTTCCCAGACTAGGTCAAAAAAGAAATGCTGGCATAACTTACTCAATTTTGGCTGCTGTTTCCTTCAAAACAGTCTCCTTGGGAATGTATACAGCAATCCCATTGTTTTTTCCACATTTCAGAAGTACAGTGGAAATTATTTTCCTTAATGCTGCCGAATACCCCTTGCGATTCCCTTTGGATGCCAGATACTGTTTCAAAACATCATCCTTTCAGTTTCATTTTCAAGTTGGGACACAGCGAAATCACAGGGGCCTAAGTCTGGTGAGTATGGAGGATGGGCAATGATAACTATGTTGTTGCTAGTCACAAAGTCTCTGGTTTTCAAGTATGTGTGTGGATGGGCGTGTTGTGATGAAGGAGCCAGTTGTGGTTATGCCAAAGTTCCGGTCCTTTTCATAGCACATTTTCTTTCAAGCATCTCAAAACGTCACAGTAAAATTCAGAGTTCCCTGTAATGTCAGGAGGAATATATTCGCTGTGAAGAAGAAAACAATGAGCCTGCTCTTTGTTGACCTCTGGACCTGCTGCACCTTTTTTGTTCGTTGTGATTGTGGGCTCTTCTACTAGCGATGATTGTTGCTTTGTTTCTGGATCATAACAGCAAATCCAAATCTTGTCAACCACTGTGATACTAGAAATACTCATAAAAGTTAGGTCCTCATTAGCCCTCTCTCATAGCTCAAGACACAGGTTTACACGCCGCTGCTTTTGATAATTTGTCAAGAGTTTGGGAATAAACTTCGTGGCAATACTGCGCATGTTCAAATTTTCTGTTCATATCTCCTGACAAACTCCGTAACTGATCGCAGTGGTGTCTGCGAACACATGGATAGTTCGGCGATGGTCATCATGGATGAGTTCTCGATTTTTTCAACATTTTCTGTTTTGTTGCCAGTGCTAGGTCGTCCTGAACGTTCATCATCTTCAACTGACACTCGACCTGCCTAGAAACATGAATGCCATTCAGAAACCACTGCCTGGCTTAAAGAATGGTTTCTGACTATTAAGTCTTGTGCCACTGTTCTTTTAACAAATTGTAACCCTTGTTTGGCAGACTATGTGATTTTTAAATTATGGCTGTTTGATGTACAAGTAACTTAAATGTTTCAGTGTTACAAACATTTACTTGCTGAAAGAACAGACATGGAATGAACCTAATTGAAATGGTAATGCTACAGAATTTCTTTGTGTTAGCTCAGTAGTTAAAATATTTATTTGAGAAGTTGATCAAAACAAAGAATGGCAACAATCTACGGCACCATGGGCATGTTCACCTCCAAACACTACTTGTTGCCTTTACCTTATATACATTCAGCGTTTCTCAACATTCTTCATCCAAGAGAATGCATGGTGGCTATATCTAAGCTTGTTTTTAATTGCATAATTGCTTTGATAAATTGTGTATATTGTTGTTACTTAAGAAAACTTTTTCATTTTGAAGGCCTTTATTGCAGTGTGTTTATATGTGTATATAAATGGAAGTAAATGTTCGGTTATGTTTTCATAGACAATACAGCTGATAAGCCACACATGCATAGTCCATTGGATTAATTAAATAACCTTCATAGTTGACTTCATTTTTGTCATTTACATAGTTAAACTACATGGGTATAATTATTGGGCGAAAGGGTCAATAAATAATAATTATAATAAGCAGCATCAATACACTTGTCAATCTGTCATCAGCAGCAGATGTGCACACAATACATACATACACACAATCATACATATACGGTGGAGACAACTAAGTACCGGAAGACTCGTATTTCAAAGGCTCTGTTTGTGGGGCATAATGTTCAGAGTTTAAAGTCTAACTGAAAACAGTTGCAACAAATTCATGTATTTCTCTGTAGCTAAGAAACTGTTTTTTTCCTCTATATACATTAAAAACTGGTAATATTTCAGATGTCACTTAGCTTTAATTACATCATAACTTTTTTTGAAATATTTAAAAAATTGTATTTTCCAAAAATTTAGTATATTGTTACTGCACTGAAGCATCTGTTAGTACATTGTATATAGGGTCATAAGTTGAATCATCGAACCTTACAGTGAATGTGCTTAGCTTGAGCTCTCTATACAAAGCTGAAATATACGTTGTTCATAGAGCTTTTCCCCCAAAGTGGAAGGGTCATGTTTTGTGCATGTATAATCTTTGATACCCACATTTCAATGGATAATCCCCAAATCTCCTTTTACATTATTGTGATACTGCATAAATTGTTTCTTAGGACAAGCATCATAATTTACGTGTGTAAGTAAGTGAAGTAGCATCAGGATACACGTATCTTCACTGTGTTCAGGAAATCAGCCTTGCCCTACACTAAGTAAAGGGTGACCATATTTCAGCTACAATTAAATTGAATTTAAAATTCTGTAGTTTATATTTTAATAAACGTTCAACTTTTTATTACTATATAGTGGCCACATACGAAGACATTTTTTCGGTTTACGTGTCAAGCATATAAACAAGGACAGAATTGTAATCATCTAGCATATATGCCCCATTAACAAAGACTTTCTATTGCAAACATTATTTACCCAATCACCAATTTTTGATACCCCAAATTTCATTCTTGGTCCAAAAGTATCTCTCTGTTCAACGGTTAAAGGGCTTCAATGAATCATTTCTGTGTCATGCCAACAAAATTACACCATGTATGTTCACATCCTGCAAAGAAGTACCTTTGAGTGGCATGTATCTGTATGTACATTAGAGTCATAGAACAATGTGCTGACTCTTACCTAACCAACTGAAAGTTGCTGGTCATGTGTTTCATGGTTAAGGATGAAATTCACACTAAAATTTGTTCAAATTGCATCAGCTTTGCTGATACTGTGCTTTGTAGAAAATAACTACATTTGTGTAGTCATAAATTTTTTGAGTTTTTAATTTATATATACAGCAATCCCTTGCCAATTATGAATTTCAAATATCTACAGTTTCCCATTTTTATCCAGTTTTGTTTGCCACAGTATTTAGTTTTATGTGAATGTGGCTTTTAATTTCCATACATATGGAGAAAGTTAGCTTTGGCACTAAGAGATCCACATTTTCTGGGGCCAGGGCTCTAATTGCATTGAAACACCTCGCTTCTAGATTAACATTGCATTTCATTGCCTTTTTTGTGGGACTTTTTATAGTTTATGTCTAATTTATTTTTATATGTTATTACATACAGTATTTTTTTTTGTGTTTATTGAAGAAACATGCAACTTAAACTCTGATGAGCATTGACAGTTATATTGTTTCCGTAATCCTGCATTTTCCACACAGCCCTGGTCTTACCAGATGCAGTGTTTATTCAGGAACACAGTCCCTGCAATTGGCAAGAGACTACTGTACTATCTAAAGCTGTTTTAGAATATGGCATGTTTTCTCTTATATATTCTTCATGTCTGGCAGCTTGTACTGTTTTTGAGTTTACTTTATTGCTCAATCTCTTATATGTTCTTATGATGGCAATTTATTTTTACTATATTGTTTCTTCAGCATTAACCCCTTGGATAGATTATTTACAAAGAATAAGCTCTCAAACTCATTATTAAAATTTAAGATTAAGTTATGCCTGGCATTCTTTGAGCACAGATACTTGAAACAAAATTAAATCTTTCATGAAGAAACAAGTTTAAAATTAATTTATAAGTCTTTCAAATTTAGTGGGTGCACAAATACGGGGTTTAATTTCTGTGTGGCTTTTTGAACAAGTTATTTTTTCTAATACAAATGTTATGCTGTACATGAAGTCTGTTGTGCTCTTTTCTTGTTGGCTTATGATTCTTCAATAATTTCATTGTCGACTCTGCTGTTTCTCACTCCTGTCTTGCCAGTCCATGGATAGACATCAGGGCAAGGCTGGCATGTCCGCATATATCGCACACCTGACTTGTGCCACAGGTTGCATACTTTGGGGTTGTTACATCTTCTGGGTCGCTCCTGTTGATTAATCAGACAATACACATTGTACATTTTTCTCTCCATACCTTGCAATAATGATACAGGGTTTATGGAAGACAGTGGAATGTTTTATAATGTTATGCTGCTGCTGTGAGCTGCCTTGCTCATTGTGTGATGGGTCTCATCTATCAAGGAACCTGAAACTCCTGTTCCTGTGCAGGATGCAGCAGATGTTATTTCATATTCAAATCATTCCATGCTGGATCATCACAGAAAAGTGCAATTATCAACCTAACCCTCAATTTCACTGAAAGCTGATGAGCTTATAGGCTCCATAGAGAATAGTAAGAGGTAAAGGTAAAGTCATTGTGTTTAATTAATAAATTAAACACTTTGCCATGAAGATGTATGGGGGAGTAGACATATAGCTCCACTATTCTTGATCTTTGCACAAGATGGTGGTCAGCTTCATGCCTTGTCTGCTTTGCCTTTGGGGAAAGAGTCCCTAGTACCCATTGGCTAGGAGGGTGGGTGGACCCCAGAGCTAGTCTGGACACCATGGAATAGCAAAAAGTCTCTTTATCAAATCCCAGTCATCAAGCCTGTACTGATTGAGCTATGCTGGCTCCTTTCTTTAAGAGTTTGAGCACCATATATCCTGCAGTTTCTGTGGACCAGGTGTGTGAAAATCGTAAGAAATAGCTCTTTTTGACACCATCTTATTAAAGATTATAACTTGTTCTGTACAGAGCTCATAAGGGGCTTGTTTGAAAGCTAATGATATGATCTTTTGCAGATGATTAATTCATATTGATACTGAGTAGTTGTGGTTTCATTGTCATCTGATGTAACCTTTGACCATAAGTTTCTCACAAAGTCAATTTTTTCTGTATGATTCATAATGTTGTAGTCCAACATACAGCAAAATGTCACCCTGGGAGTCATGGGATCTCCTGTAATAAAATCATGAACATTCATATGATCTGAAACACAAATTGTGGAACATAATTTACCACATTTTAACAAAACTTGCTGACATCAACAGACATAGGGGTAATATTACCAGTTATTGTTGCTAGTAAACATAATTTGCAATATCTCTTGTGCTGTAACTTTTTAATCGCTAATTGCATTTTGAAAGATGTAGTGTATGTTTGTCCTGTGGCTCTTCTTGGATCTGCTTCTTTAAAATGTCTGGCAAAGGAAGGTTTGCTTGTTGATACATGCAGGATGGTGTCGGATCATGAGGGTGAAGAACACTGAATATCACTTTCACTGAGCGCCCATTCACTGTCATAATGCATCCTAACCACCAAACACTGTTAAAACACATCACAAAATATTTTGCGTCATCAAATGTCATGATTTCTTGCAAGCACTTTTCAGACTGCTGAGCTAGACAGTTTGCTCACAATTAATGTACATTTTCTTACTGGTAGAAAAGCATGAAGCTTAAGAGTTCCCAGTATTGCTTTAGCTGTTGAATTTCTTTTGTATAAGCCCTTTTCCTCTTTAATTCTAGTTCAGTAACAATCTGAAAGTTGATGTATTGTGTGTGGTTTGTGCCCAATTGAACTTTTGTCCTGGAATTACGATTTGATCATTGTAGGGTCACTGCATGCTTGCCTCATTCACTGTTGCCATGTGGAGTGACAAAGAGATACCATTTAGCTGGAACTGAAAAACCTTCATGTAAAATCAAATTTAAGAAGTTTTTTCAGCTGTGATGCTGACCTGTCCGCGAAACAGACTGTCTTCTTCAAACAGCCAAGTTTATTGTGAAGAAAATTAATTAAGTAAGACAGAAATTGTTATAAAGCTGGTGTGTGAAAACTTGTTTGTTGGTGATTCTTTGAAATAAAGTGCAAAGGCATAAAGAATTGTTTATGCAATAGAAAGCCTCTACCTTATCTTATAATAAGAAGGAATAATTTGCAGCAAAATCACACATCACTACACCCACTTGTAAGTCAGATTTCAGTTTATTCACATATATTGCTTGCTGTACAGCAACAAAAGAGAGGGGATGCTGCCAGCTTTGCAGTTAACATATCAGTGAATTCATTACTTGGTGTTACAGTGGTTTCAAGTGTCTGTCAATCAGTGGAAACCTGCTGCTTGAAATTAATGTGTTCAGTAGCATTCTGTTTTACAAAGTTCTGCAGTTTATTAGATCTAGGGCATTCTTTACATCTTTGGAAAAGCAACACTCTTGATGAAGACTGCCCATAATCATTGCCAAGTACTGATGGTTTGCGGAGAGCTTAGTACTCTGATATGTCAGTTTGAATCCTTAAAGCATTAATTTGACATTATGTCCAGGATGGATGGACAGACACATGCACGCACACACAAACAACCCCCCCCTCACACACACACACCATGTAATCTACTGATTTGGCTATAAAACTTCACAGAAAATGGCCATTTGGGACAAGAAGATGTAGGTTGGAGGATAACTTTAAACTTAATCTTAGTATCTAAACTGGATTGAAATACCTCAGGATAGGTTTTCTGGGCTGGCTAACAATAGGAAATTACTTGTGTTGTTGAATATAAGTATAGCAGGAAAGAATAGTACTGAATTTAATAATCATGTAATCATTACAATTACTCTGTGGATCATGGGTTTCAGTGTGGGGCTTAGTGTTTCTTTCAGATCCTCCATGTAAATGCTATGGTTGTATCCTGAAATAAGCCACAGTCAGCTTCTTTGTCCTTTCCTCCTCTGTAATTCACAGTTGTGTGGTCGTTTGATGCCATGTAAACTACCCAGCTGAAAAGTGTAATGTGATAACTGCAGAATGTAAGACTTACTGGATAATTGCACTGGAACGGTGGGAAGCTGTTGATGCGAGACAGAGGTGTGGGGTCACGCACCCACTGAATAGCCTGCCAATTGGTCACCAGCCAGACATCTTGCATGTTTACAATGGTGTCAAGGAATGCAATAAATCCCTCTTTATGATGTGGCTGGGTGAACCAGGCAGCATGGTAGAACAGGCCAAATGGTGCCCTGTGGAATACACAGTTTTGATACTTTCTTTCCTATGTCCCTGTTAGAAACCAAAGGAGTAAAATATTTGGAAGTATAATTTTACTTATGTATAACTTATACTTGATGTATTATATGAGTGTGACATTTGGTTCTCACTGTAAGGGAAGAACAGGCTATCTGAGAATGCAGTGCTCAGCACAATATTTGAACATAAGAGAAAGGAAGTAACAGGAAGACTGAGAAAATAACATAATGAGGAGCATCATAATTCATACTGCACAAATGCTGTTAGAATGACAAAATCAGGATGTGAGACAGAAATGTGTGGCACATGTAACACGCTGGAAAATCTTGAGGGACAAGATCCAGGGAAAGTTATACCAATGTTATGTTGGACAATGGGTGATGCCTCAAGTATATTTACAATAATATATAGCCTGGCAAAAGAGTTCATGAATTCATTGCGGTAAAAGTGCTACATACCTCATTGCTGAATGCATATTGTTGAGCTAGCCAAGACCTATCTTGAGTTGTAGAGCTGTTACATAAGAAGACTGACAGCAACATGATATAACCCACATGTCACTGTGTCCGTTCATGAATACTCCGTGTTTACACTTACACATTTTGCAAAATTTACTGATACTGGATTATGTCCCGTAAGATCTGCGGTTTCTGCAGCAATGAATATTTATATTGTAATCTAGGTTATGGCACTGTGTGATCTAGTAGGTGGTTATCAATGTTTTGGAGGATCATACTACTTGCATCTTCAGGGTAGAAGATAGAAGCAGTATGTTCCTCCAAAATATTAGTAACCACCTTCCAGATTACATTATGTAATAACTTTGTAGATCACAGTATGCATTATCCCTCATTGTTCATTCTTAATATTCAATATAGACTTGTATTTTAGCTTCCTGTTTCACTAATATTGTTGCCCTTTGTACATACATGTAAGCACAATTTGAAATGCAAACAAGTGTTGCATTCAAGGCAGGGTTACATGTATGTACAAAAGGCTAGATGTAAACTTCATCTCCTTAAGTCACTCTCAGTATATGCCCATCAGTTTCTGCTCCATATCAGAATAGCCAAGTAATACAATTTACATACAGAATTTTACAATTCAAAATGTTATCTTGTATGGCCTTGTTAACCAAAGCAAAGAAGGTCCTTGCAATTACCGGCAAAAAATCTTTATTTATATGAATGAATTATTATGTATGAAAACTAATATTACCTGTTGGTTGTGTAATGGCGTTCAAAATTTTTGATAAGCATCTTGTATACTCCATCAGCTGTAGGTGGATTGCTACAAGCATCACCCATGGAGCATCGCCCTCCATTCAAGTCCTGCCACATCACCATAGGAACCTCCCAAACACCTTAAAGGTCAGTGCAAAGCAAAATACAAATTAACAGAGTAAAGGAGCTGGGTAGATAACTAAGTAATTGAATGTTGTGGTACGGTGTCTACATGGTAGTATGTGCTTCATGTCCAGGATGCCCTAGTTGTGAATTTCAGGCAGATTCTGAAAAAGTACCTTAGAACTTTGAGGTTGGCTGTCACATCTTAGTGTGTGTGTGTGTGTGTGTGTGCGTGCGTGCGTGCNGTGTGTGGTTGGTGGTGCGGGGGGGGCTGCGGGCATGGGCGGGGCCCCCCCCCCCCAGTTCTCATGTCACATTCTGACTTGGGGTTTCTATAACATTTTCAGTTATTATCAGGAATGGGAATTGAATTGATTATGGATTGTTCTCTTGTACTTACTATAACCTTGAATTGTTACAATATTTCCAGTCTGTATGACACATAAGAACAAATGTATAGACTTGAATTGAATTGCAAGTTCATTTTTTCTAAATGTAGGCATACATGTGTAAACAGATAGGAGTGTCTGTGTAGAAGTTGTTGAGGCATTACTTGCAGACACTGCTGCTGATTTGAATGAAAATAATGCCACAGCTGACCAGCTAGGAAAGGTGGAAGCAAATGCCATAATCCTGCATAATGGAAAGGCCCTTCCTCAGCACAGCCAACAAGTAGCCTGTGTGTATGTTGAGTTATCTTCAAACCACTTCTGTGTGCTTCCCAGTAAATCATTCACAAACACCATTTAATGCCAATTCACACAATACAAGTGTAATATATTAAGTTTAATTAAAATGTGCTAAGGGACTCAAGAGATAGACCCTGAGTTAAAGAATACCATAAAATGAGCCAAACTGAAACAAAATAAAAAGATACAGCAAACTTTTATGTAGATTTACCATACCAAGTCTAATTGAAATTGATCATGTAGTTTATGGTCAGATGGAAAAGTAGTACTTATAGACATTTTTAAAAATGTATTAAAATGGTTAAGGACTTCTTTCTTTACCAGTATTGACTTTTTTTTAATGCTAGTGGGGTGGGACTAAGTCCCTTGTACTGCGACAACTTCTGGCCTATTGTACCAGCCCCAGATGATAGGTGAGGGTGATTGTGGAGAAATTGGTGGAATGAAGATTGGCAGGGGAAACCGAAGTACTCGGAGAAACCCTGCCCCAGCACCACTTCGACCACCACAAATCCCACTTGACCAGACCCAGGATTGAACCCGGGCCAGCACAGTGGGAAGCCAGTGACTAACCGCTTGAGCTATGGCACAGCCCCAGTAATGACTTTACACCATAACTTGTTTCTTATTGTTAGGAATCAGTGTATTTGTAGAAATAATTTGGATCTTACCTGGATAGGAACGTGTGGGGCAGGGTGGAATCATGCAGTCGTGGAAGATCTTGTAATCCAGTGTGTACGGCCAACTTGGAGGCCTGTTCTCATAAACAGGCATCGATGAATCATAGGTGAAGTTTGAGTCATACAGCATCTTGAACATCTTGTTACCTCCAATCTAGGGCCACACAAGCAAACAGGGTCTTATATATTTTGTTTGAGTTTAATATGTTTAACATTTTCATCAAGGTAGTTTAATTGGTGTCAGGGGTATTTCAGTTTCACATGTTATAGTATAACTAGTAATTCATGTGAAGATGTAATTTATTTTATCTGCTTTCTGTAAAAAAAGTAAAAATTGCTAGTCACATAATATTTAAAAAACTTGAATCTGGAACTTGCTTAATGTAGTGAATATTGAAGAAGTTTTAAGGGAAAATGCAGTGTGACTGCCGTCTGTGGAACATTTAGCTTTATAACAGTAGTTTTAAGAGCCAAGATAGCGCAGTCGGTATAGTGACTGGATATGGGCTGGATGACAGAGGAGTTGGAGTTTGAGTCATGGAAGGATCAAGAATTTTCTCTTCTCCACATCATCCAGACAGGCTCTAGGGCCCACCCAGCCTCCTATCCAATGGCTGTCAGAGATTCTTTCTCCATGGTTAAAGCGGCCAGGGTGTGAAGCTGACCACTCACCTCCAACTAGTGCCGAGGTCAAGAAAATATGGATCTATACATCCATTCCCCCATATGCCTTCATGGCATACTGCTTAATTAGTTAATCACAGGAACAACTCTACTGTTACTTTACAGTAGTTTTATATCTGTACTAAATAACATCAAAGCCAGAGAGGTCTGCAGAATTGCAGAGATTTCATTTTGAAAACACTGTGTGTCTGTTAACTTTCTTCTCACCTCACCACCCAAAAATCTGGGCTGTGTGGTCATTTTACAAGCATCCTGAAACTCTGTCTGCATGCAGCCATATAATATAGAAAATTACAATATGTTTAAAAATATTATTAGAATAACATCTTTTGAAATTTTAAACCCATAATCAAATTTAAAAGTGTTAATAATATGGTATGAAGGCTACACATAGGAAAACTGCATTATATTTGTATTGTGATGGCATTTAAAATGCCAGTACTTAGATATGTGTTTATGCCAAGTTCTGCAGTGTAACATCTGTGGTGTATTGTAAATTGATCTGAACAGCTACTTACAGCCAAGAATGGAGCTCTCATACCCCTGATGTCCTCCATGCGCACACCACCATAAGCAGCAAGAATTTCTTGCTGCCCAGCGATCTCCCTGGTCCATTTCTTCTGAGAGAACTGTTCCCCAAAACTGTGCCTATTATATGAATCAAAACACATTGGAATAAAATACATATGCTTCAGGTAATATATTCAGACATGTCTGGTGGCTTCAAAGATATGGAAAAACACATCTTATGTTCAGTTTATTTTCTCATTACTTCTATGCAGTATGGAGTATGCATTTGGTTCTAATACATTAACATCTTAAATGCCCGGAATTACTGGGTTTTTGGGCTTTGTACATAAACCCAGTAATCCCAAGTGTTAAACACCATTGTCAAAACTCCTTGAATGCCAACTAAAAAATTATTCTATGTGGGCAGTGTGCACCATATTACATGAATAAATACTCAACTCTCTTATCTAAATGGCTGCAGACACACAAACTGAATCATGTCCAGTCAAGTAGAACTGAGGCGTACTAACTAAATTGCTACGAAAACAGAATTCCAGTATGTGTCGCTACATTCTGTGAGTTGAGGCAATGAATCAGAGGGTCTGTTTATGAAGTATGTTCATAAGTCAGACTCAGTTTACCTTGACTGGGTTCAGTTTGGTTATTGTGCCTGCAGAAAAAGACACAGTGCAGAATGATGTCTGTATTTTCCAAAATTTTATGTTCAAAAACTTAGGTTCATGATTTACATGAGGTTTTTCCAGTAGCATAGTTGGTTGAGGCACTATGCTACTGGCCAGAAGTTTGTAGGTTTCATTCCCAATGAGGTCATTCGATTTTTCAGTTGACCTATTCCTTCCAGCTGCACTTTGGCCCATCCCTGGGGTTGACTTAGCCTCTAACAGAAATGAACACCAGGAATCTTCCTGGGGGTAAAGGGCAGCCAGTGCATAAGGCTGACAACTGCACTGCCATCTGTGAGCCCACTGTCTAGAAAATGTGAAAGCCTCAAAATCTCGCAAACCTGTGGTCCTCCATGGCCTGCGTTTTTTATGAAAATAGTTTATCATGGAAAATACTGCTCTTAGCATGAAACTGAAATAGTGTGTAGCCCACTTCTTCTGTATGAGTGACTTCTTAATCTCATCACCATCAGATTATACTATGACAGATCTGAGGTTCTCATGCCATTGGCTATGAAGAATATGGTTGTCTGGGTTGTAATGCCATGTAACTCAGAGGCAGCTTGATGTTTTGAAAGAATATATCACTTCTGTCTATAAGACCACACGAGACTAGCAGAAGCAGGTGGAAAGGTGAGCTTGGGCTCTCTCTAAACTACAGTGTGTTGAACCCAGAAGACTGCAGTCTTAAAATTATACTACTCTGCCAGAATAATTCCTACTTGTGAGCAGTAGTGTGTACAGTACGTACATATATACAGAGGAAAATGGAATGCACACTGACAGACAAAATGGTAATCTCAGAAGCCTGTTTTCTTTGCTTCAAAAAGGAAGATACACTAATACAAAAACTGTCTGTATAATGACACCAGTCACCTGATGACAGGAATAGCTCAAATTTTTTAAATATTGTATATGTAAGTTATACTTCAAATGATAGACTGTTCAACATAATAATGGTATAATGATTTTAGGGCATTGTCCTCCATGTTGATATGTTGGATGTGGGAACATCTGGACTGAATCTATTAAAAGCTGTGTAGGGATAGTGTCATGCTGTGCAAAGTGTGATAGTACAGTTATAAGCAAGGCAGTGACAAAAGTGCAAGCCAAACATTTATTAATCACAAAGAAATCAGGCAGACATGTAGTGACAATGTTCATGAAATGGTGGATGACATGTCATTAATCTGTGTACTACCTGTAGTGCAATTGAAACTGTTCTTCATATCTTATCTTTTAAACGTTATCTCATGAAAAAAATAACTTTAAACTGCATGAATATTTGGAATGTTTGCAGTATGTTGATATTCCTGGGTTTATGGAAATATTTAACATGAGTGACAAATATAAATTATCAGGCAAAATGATATAGAGCAGTTTAACAGACAACTGTTTAATGGTGGTGTAGGCTTTCAACTTATTTGGCTGTTTAAGATGGCAGAGGGTTGACAATTTGTGTGGAAGGGGCAATTTCCTGTCCATTTTTATGCACAGAAATTTGTTCAAAATATTGCAGCCAAGTCTTGGGACTATGTCATAACTCAGACGTGCTGGCTTCTCATCATGGAGTATTGGGGTTCAATCCTTAGGATGCTTCATGTGAAATTCATGATGGATGAAATGGCACTGGAGAAGAGGTTCTCCTGAGTTTCTTCTGTTTTATTCAACTATTATTTCACACTCATCTGTCACCACCCATGACCAGGCAATAAATCATCATATCTTTCGTCTTTTAACTTTTGTGGCTTCATCTTTGACTTGCTGCTTGGCTGGTTACAGATTAAGGAGTTAAGTTTTTTATTATGTCCTGCTCATAATTGTCTAGTTGTGAATTATGTATGACTTTGTGAAACATAATCTCTTTTAATAGCCTGTGAAGCAGTCCACACGATAGACACAATGAGAATGGAAGTGTATACTTTAGTGCAATACACATACCTTCCAAATGCATTCTTTGCTATTTTGCATGTTTCATTGGCCTTAATGTTGGACATAACTTCCATTTTGCATTTACTTTGTGCACTTCATCTGAAGAACACATAAAAAGAAGTAACTTCAGTCATAGACTCTTAATACTTGTAGCATGTGCCACTGTATCGTACACTGTGCTGTTTCATCTTTAGACAAGTGTATTTGGTCACTATGACCACAGTGGATATGGAATAATTCAGACCACACAAGTATCAAGATAATGTTATATTTTAGCATCCTGCTGCACTGACTCATGTCCATGATTTATGCTAACCGTCTTACAGTGCATACACTTTTTTCACCTTACTCTTCTTTTTTTTGCACTACATGTTTCAGCACTAATGTGCCATCTTCAGGTGCATTTTCTCTATGCACATCTAACTATTGCATTGCATGCCCTGATGTCTTCATACTAAAATGACTAAAATATATATTCGTCATATATAATAATAGATTTTAAATATTAAAACTTTTCAGGATTCGTCATCCTTACGTCGTATCTCAGTATGCAAATCACGCCAAACCACCCCTGTGGGAGCACTCTTCCTACATTCATATGTATAACGCATGCAGTCACAGGAGCAAGACACAACAAAGAGCACAACAGGAGCAAGACACAACAAAGAGCACAATACACATGAATGTAGGAAGAGTGCTCCCACAGAGGTGGTTTGGCGTGATTTGCATATTGAGATACGACATAAGGATGACGAATCCTGAAAAGTTTTAATATTTAAAATCTATTATTATATATGACGAATATATATTTTAGTCATTTTAGTATGAAGACATCAGGGCATGCAATGCAATAGTTAGACGTGCATAGAGAAAACGCACCTGAAGATGGCACATTAGTGCTGAAACATGTAGTGCAAAAGAGAAGAGTGAGGTGAAAAAAGTGTATGCACTGTAAGACGGTTAGCATAAATCATGGACAAGTATCAAGATAATGAAAAGCAGAAGGGTTTATTCCTGAGAAGGAAATTAACCTCAGTATTAACTAATTAATTTGGCAACTATTAGTCTGAATTTTAAAGGAGTGTTCATAAAATTATACGATAGCTGACAAACTAAAATTCCATATTTTCCTAACTTCTTTCAAGTGTTTGGAATTTAAATAAAATTCAACTCTACTTTCAGACTAAGGGAGCCCAGTGATTTGAAGTTAATTACTGGCCTCTCATACAAAAAATTTCTGGTTTTAAACTACTTGGATCCAGTGTGTTTTCCTACATCCTTTATCTCCCGCATAGTTCAGGCTCTTTTGAAACTGTAGGGAATTCATACCATGACCATGGTTCAAATTCTACATTAAACTCTTGAGCAATCATTACCATCACCTCCAGTCATAACGAGTAAATTAAATCGCACTTTATGGGCATTTTCACTCCAGAAACCTATCTGGAAACACAGAAAATGAAGGTTTTGGATTTTACATGATACTTTTGTTTCCTACAGTACTTTTATATTGACTCTAAAGCTGAAAAATACATAACTTTGTAAGTATTAATAGACTATATTTGAAAACACTTTATATACTTTTATTTGAAATTCTAAACTGCTAGTTAAAATTTAAATATTTATTATATAAAGGTGACAGGCATATGCACCAAGTGGTATATCCACAGTAGTCTTCATACTGACTCCTACATAATGTTTTCATGTGACTGCAACTTTCTAAGGCAATTTAAACTTACGAAATGGAATGTGATGCAATTTCATGTCCAGAAGCGTACAGGTTCTGGACGTGGCTATAATCCGTCCACTCATGAGATACGTAGAAAGTTGCTGCTATGGGGCAGCCATTAGGGTTTGTGCGTCCCTTTTCAAATAGGTCTGTATACAATCCCTTGTTGAGATCATTTGCAGAGTCATCGAATGTTAGCAGAACGAGCTGTGGGATCTCCTCTGCTGCAAAGCCACCTGTGATTGGCCAGGAAGTAGGAGACAGCAGATTTGTGGAAATGGAGGCAAGGGGAGGTTTTTGGAGGTTATAATGTTGTAATTTTTTAATTTAAATCGGGAATATAGTAGTGTTATCATTTTCAAATGTAGGGACGAATTCGTTTTTGTAAAGCATTTGTGTAATTTTATAGGATTGGTAATTTATTTCAGTTCACATATTGGATTAAATGGCAGAGATGATAAAAAGAATTAGGTTGTGATATATTCATAAATTAGTAACTTTTTAATTGGGAGAGGTTTGTTATTCGAACCAGTAATTATAATTATGATCAGAATTTCTCCAACAGCCAGACAGTGGATAGTGCAGCACACATTTGTAATAAAAATACACCAGAAATGAATGATGTATGAAAATGACTTAAAAGAAATATATTTAAAGATGAAAATTTAGCCATTATTACAGCATACAATGTGTAAATTGGCATAGACATGCAATGATTTTGATAGTATGACAGCACATTAAAGTTAAAATAATTTAAATATAATGATTTGGGAATTGATGAGTTAATAAATATCAATGCAAATTTAAGGTGCAAGAATTGATAATTGAGAAAAAGTGCATTGACATTATGAAATGTGGCAAGGGAGTATAGTGTGATTGATGGAAGGGTGTGGGAAGAAAAGACAATATGCAAAGCATGTTATTGGCTTGGTCAAGAAGCCTTGTTTAGTCAGCACACACAACAAAGCAGTGAACTCATGCCAAGGCATGTGATGTTCTTTGCAGCTTCCACTTTCCTAGTGTTGCAGTCTCTGCAGCTCAGCACCTGTTTACAGTAAGCATAGCTCTGTCCCTTGCAGGCAAGTCATGTAGAGACTGAAGTCTCTCTTTAGCACATACAGTAATTGGTATGCCTGTGTTAGTTATATTGCAAGTAAATGATGCAGCAAGCTACTAAATTTGATCTGCATGCAACACAGACAAGAATATCATATAGACACATCTTATCCCTTTGTTGTACCTTTCAGATTCTCTACCCATTTTCAGGATTTGATTAAGTTCTGTATGAAAGACTGATATATATTTTTTGCAAGTGTAAGAGCCAAACACTAACGCATTTTACAGAATATCCAGTAAGCCTGGAATCTTAGCGGCTTCCGTAGTCTAGAGGTAACGTTCCCACCTCATGACTCGTAATACGCGGGTTCAAATACCCAGCGGAGGTCTTCGAATTTTTAAGGGCAGAAAAATTCAGGGAACAAGTCCTCCGGGAGGGACTTTAAGCCGTGGGTCCCGTGTAGTAGCTTTACGGCACGTAAAAGAACCTCATATCTCCAAAGGAGGTCACTGAGCCAAATTACAGGATGTTTCCCGCCCAACAGCAGTCTCTAATACCTCTGGTAGATGGGGGAAGCATTATAGATACCTCTCAGCTAGTAGAGCCGGTCTCGCTGGCTTGGCGGGACTGATGGTAAGCACCAGTACCGGTAAGATATAGAGACTGGTAGAATATCATAGAGGGAAGCACAATGGACCAATACAGGTCTCAGTGCATGGGGAAACCCACCCTCTCTAATAACTAACTAAGCCTGGAATCTTAAGTGATGATAGAGGTTTGACATATTTGTTACAAAATATGCTTCATATGTCCATCATTCACATAACCTCTTGACTGCAACCTCCACACATCTGTCTTTACACAGTGACATTACCCACAATAGTGGCCAAGACAAGACATATGTTGCCTATGGTTCCAGACACATGGGACATCTATATTAAAGGAGGATTCATTGAAAGCCATTTAAATGAATATCTGGTAAATAAAACAATTCATCTATTTGTTTAAAGGCTGCAATGTGAGATACAGTGACCTGTATAAATAATAGTAAAGCCAAATGAACATACATACATGTGTACTCAATCTGCTGTGCGGATGGAGGCTGTGCCAGGGTGGGGCACAGAAACATCCTTTTTTGAAGGTGAATAAAAGAAAAATTATTGCTGATAGACAAAATTTATGTTTAGCTAATGAAAGGACATACTTTAAAGTTTTAAATCGTATAGTTTTAAACAAAATATCTTGAAGGTGGTGGCCACCATTCTCTATGCACTGATGCAACCGTTTTCTGAAGTTTCCTTCTGCACATTCCAACATGTGCATCGGAATTCAGGCTACTTCCTGCCGAATAACATTCTTCAGCTGAAGCAGGTTTGTGGGGAGATATTTAAAAACCTATGCCTTGAGGTATCCCCATAAAAAAATCACAGGTTAGATCAGGTGAGTGCGCTGCCCACAGGATGTCACCTCGAAGCGAGATGAGCCGTCCGGGGAACTTTGCCCTCAAAACTGTCATCGAAGCTCGGGCTGTGGGGGCCATGGCACCATCCTGTTGGAACCAGACATTTCCTAGATGCATTTCTTCAAGAGATGGTTCAAAATTAGTTTTTAATCATGTCCACATACCACTGTGAGTCGACAGTAACTGCATGATTGTCTTCAAAAAAATAAGGGCCAATAACTCCAATTCTTGAAAACGCACACCATACTGTCACTTTATCACTGTGAAGTGGCCTCTCATGGAGCTCTCTGAAATTGTTACCACTCCAACAGCGCATATTCTGCTTGTTGACATCCCGATAGGTGAAAATGTGCCTCATCACTAAAGAAAACAAGTGTGTCAGGGGGTAAAGTTTCCAATAACGTTTACATGGTGACAATTCTTGCAGAACAACCATCTTATAGGGATGGAAATGAATTTTTCATGAAGAATTCGGTGCATTGAACGATTGGATATGTCTAGGGCGACTGCATGTTTGCGAGTGGAGCGTCCTGGAGATCTCAAAATCGACTGTTGAACTGCCTCCACATTTTCTGGCATCGTAACGGTCCGTTGTCATCCTGATGATTTTTTTCAACACGCTCCCGGTTGTCCTAAATTTTTCTGCCCACAAAACAAGCGATTTCTGGTTGGGAACCGGGCGTCTGGGCTTAATTCCGAAGTGACTACGGAACGCATGCTGCACTGCCACGTAGAAATGGTTGTTAGAAAAATAGGCTTTGACAGCAAACGCATGCTGCTCACTCGTCCACCTCATGTTTCCTACTGAGGGGTATTAGACAGAAACTTCCGTGAGTGCTGCGTTCTCCGAGCCTATCCCCACTTTTCTGCGACCTCCCTTCCCTTCACAGTGCGTCTTCACAAAAAGGAAGTTTCTGCACCCCACTCTGTAGAATCCACAGATTTTATATAAGGTAATTTGTATTTTTTATTTATTATAAGACATAAGAAAAAGATTGTCATAAACTACAAATTGTTGTTTCTGATAGGGACTTTCACATTTTGATTTCACTGGGTGTCCTACAACTGTAAATTTGACCCTGAGAAGCAGAATGGATCGTTAGTAACACTGACAAAATCTGCACAGTTTTGCAGGTTTGCTTTGCAGAAAATTTCATAACATTTCTGCCAGATGAGTTATTTTAATTACGAATTAGGATAGCACTTTGCTTGTCTCAAATTAATTTTATATTTTTAATACACTAAAGTGACATTTGGCTGGTCACGGTAGCCGAGCGGTCTAAGGCATGCACTGTCTTCGCTCGCTCGGAAGCAGGGATCGTGGGTTTCGAATCCCACTCAGGGCATGGATGTTTGTGTGCGTTTTTCTGTGTTTGTCTACAGGTAGAGGCCTTGCGACGAGCTGATCACTCATCCAAGGAGTCCTGCCATATGTGTAAGATCTAGAAAAACCGAAGTGAACGGAGTTCATGGAGGCAGGCCTAGGCCCACTGGGACTGTAGTGCCAAGGAAAAAAAAAGTGACATTTGAGATGTTAATTAAATAAATATTTATGTGATATTTTATTTTTGCAAAGTGAGGAATTTTTGAGGAACTAAGTAAGATTTTATTTTGAGGTATGAAATGAAGGAATGATGGCGAAGATTCCTGTTATAGCAAAGTGATGAGCAGTCATAAAAACTACCTGTGGCACCAAGCAAACTAAGTTGGTGCTCTGACATGGTACCTCATCAACTGCATCATTTACAATACATGAAACCTGTGAATTAATCTATAAATTAGGGTAATCTGATATACTGTGTAAAAAAGAGACAGAGAGCTATGCTTTCTGTGTTGAAATTAGATAAACATCAAAGAGGAACATAGCCATTCATGAGGTTTGACAATTAAATTGTTGGACTGGGATTTTTTGTACAGCAACTGGTAACACTGATGAGTTGGCACATATTAGGTCATATGATGGCATGATTCCACAATGTCTGTTGAACAATCACTGGAATTCAATTTGATTTGCGGTTGCAATGAGTGTGTCATTGGTGCATTGCTCTGTCTGTCTGTTAGTTTGTTGGTCAGGAATGAAGGCTAAGGAAATTTGCTTATACCTGACAGCAAGTTGTTAGAAGAACCTGTCGTTTTGAAAGATTACAGACTTGTGGTGAACTCCAATGGAAAAGTACTTGACACCACAAAATGTCAAAATTGAACGTCCTAAGGCTGCTGATCTGCTTTCTTGATATAAGGGGAATTATCCATTATGAATCTTTTCCTCTAAAACAAACAGTCAACCATATACTGTATACTACCTTCAAGTTTTGGATTCTTTATGGCAGCACATTCATTAAATAGGGACCAAATTTTTGACTAGATATCTGTAGATTTCATCATGACAGTGTGTGTTTCTGTAATTTTGAGAAAAAATATAAATGTTGGAAGATCAACAAACTTGTTAGATGGCCTTTGTATGGCTTTTCTGTGTCCTCAATATTAAAATTTACTTGAAAGGATATAATTTTGAATCACTTGAAGACATTCAGAGCAATGCAGTAACAGTGCTGAAATGATTTTTTGATGAAGAATTTCCAGGAGTGACAAAGATGATGGAATGCATGTATAAAGTAAGAAGGTGATCACACTCTGCAAGTGGTGGTGATCATATATTTATTTTTAAAGAACCCGTCCAGTTATATAAGTGTCAGACCTTATGTATTTGTACTCATAAAAAAGTAGAAAGTGAGACCAATCTTCTTGGTGACAGGAGCATGTATGCAGACTTACGAGATGGAGTGTGATGCCATCTCATGACCTTCTGCGTAGAGGTTCTGCACCTGGCTGTAGTCAGTCCACTCATGTGACACATAGAATGTGGCCGTAATAGGACAGCCATTTGGATTAGTGCGACCCTTCTCAAATATGTCTTGATACAGCCCTTTGTTGAGATCGTTGATAGCATCATCAAAAGTAAGCAGCACTATTTGGGGAATTTCTTCTCCTGGCAGGTTGCCTGAATAATGGTGCACATATTATGCATGTGGTTCAATGTCAGTGACCTCTGATACTAATATTTACCTGGGAGTTACAACAACTAGATCAAACTTTATGTCAAATATGCTGACCACCTGGAAAACTAGAATGTATCATTATGGTCAAACAAGAATGACAGATTCTTGGTCTGTATCTCATACAGTCAAGGGCTTAAGTAATTATGGCGTTATCTGCCTGTATCAAATCCATTCTGTACACTTTCAGTATCATGAATAAAAGGAAATCTATACAGATTAAGTAACAGTATGGAGGAGAGCCCTTCTTGAGAATATTGCAGTTGCTCAGATGGTGAAGAAAGTCCCCTGTTTTTGTGGAACTGAAAGGTTTATTACAGTGTTCACAGGAGCCTCTAACTGGATACTATCATGAATCAGTTGATTCCAGTCAATATCCTCACAGTCTGTTTCTTTGAGATCCATTTTAACACCATTGTATCGATGCTTGCATCTCACGAGTTATTTCTTCCTTTAACATATTCCAGTCAATTTACGTTCTTATTTCAGAATGAAAGACCCATATTAAATAACATGTAAAATGATAGTTTTGTATATTTTGATCTTTGGATTTTTAGATAGGAAATGAGAATGAATATATATGTATATAACTTAACAAAAATAATCCATTAGTCAGTATACTTAATACATAGAAATATAATGGTTTCCTCTGTTTATCTGAAATTAAAAATGTTGATATTTAGGTAGGCCTTCTAGCTGTTCTGATGTTTGTTAGCCACAGTCTTCTGGCAGAGTTTGGCTGATGCAATAGATGCCATGGCTGTTTTGTATTTGTAAGTTTGTCATCATTCTCTTGAATTAAGTTTCGGTTGCTTGCTTGTGTTAGGCATCCACCCAAGACGGACCACACGATTAAAGGGACTGTGTATGTAGCAAAAGGAAGATCCTTCTTGTTACAGTCTGTGAGAACATTTCTGAAATAACTTGATTCACACAACAACAGTCTGTACAAATCAACTACTTGTATATTATCATAATACAATAATTTATAATAATTTGAATTTATATTGAAATGGTCTAGATTTGAGTGTGATCTGCTTTTCTTGATTAACTGTTAACTTGTAATTTTCAGTCATCTAGTGACATTTTGTTTTTATTTATACTATATTGTTTTTCTACACTCTTTAAATTTATATGTATTTCAGACAGATGAAAATTTACAAGATCAGATGGAAGGTGAAATTCTACGTAAATAATTTTAAATGTTCATGTTTGCAATTTGGGATGTCTGTTAGTTGATTCAGGTTTTCTTAAATCACAGGAGTGGCAAATATGAACGCTGGCTTTCAGTATTGTGCTTTCTTTAAAGTAATTTTGATTTACTACAAATTTCAGTTCATTGAAATATGACACAAGATTTTAAGATATGTATTTTTCAGTACAAAATTAAAGAACTCTTCATTATTAGAAAGTAAAGTACAAAAAGAAAATGTCTGGCTGGTGTTGGAAGGAGAGATTCATTCAAGAAAGTTTTTAAGTAGTAACGCTGAAGAAAGTTCATTTACCATTGCTACATTTGCCATTTATTAATTTTGCTGCAGAAGAATGTTTCAGTAAATGTATTGTTGTTGACAGAGAAATGTTCTTTCTTCACTCTTAGAAGGTGTCAACACTGTACCTGGTATATCCTTGCCCCCACAGTAACAGTCAGGGAGAAGACACACATCTTTGCGACATTTAGCAGCTGTTTTGTCCACCTGTGGTGTTGGGTATACAGGATCAGGCCTGTTGAAAGAAACTGATCAACTGTAGACATTTTTATACCATACCTACATTCTGTAGATATTCAGTTCAGGTTTATCCTTCATATTTAATGGATTTTGTTGACAAACTAGCATAATGCCCATGGGAACGTGAAATGGGAAACAGTGCAACAGATATTTCCTTTCAGAAATACACAAAACTGGGTTGTCTTTTCATACATGTATTCCACTTCCTAAGCACACTGTATCAGGCTTTCATCATCTTCAAGAAGCAGAATGAAGCTCTAACCGGTTAGTTCCCTTAAACAGATGTTCTCATTGCCATGTAAAGACTGTCATTTCCATATTAAACAAACTGCTTATGAAGCGACACACATCAATGATTTTGACTTTAGAAGTTTATCTACAGCTGTACACAGCAAGCAACTGGCAGTTCATACTGTCTGTTGGTTTGCTTGCAGTAGATGAATTTCAGTTGATATGATGGGCCTACATTAAAATTTAAAGGCTGCTTTCCTTAATAGTTTTCTGTTCATAAATCACATGAATTTCAATGGTGTAGGCATTAAAGATGAAATTATGTCCTTCATATATCTAGGGGTCCATATCCTGGTCCTGTAAGGCAACTATAACCACCCTCCTCTAAAAGAACACAGTATTTGCTGCACATTCTGCTCTGTATTTTTATGCAGTGATCATGTCACATTCTTAAGCATTAAACATAATAGGATTTAGAAAACAATTATTTAAAGAAATTAACAGTACAAACCACTGACTCAAAAGGATTATTTTAGAGAATGTGTTTTGAATAAGAAAAACCGATGTTCTGCCTCATATGAGACTGCCTGGAAACAGTTGTTGTCACATAAGTACAAGAAAATCATTTGTGATTCAATACAGTTCTGCAGTCCTACAGAAGATATGAAAATTTTTTTCTAAAATCTGAGCTGGGAAAACTTGTTACTAGATAGCTGTTCCAATAGGCACAAATCATCTTTCAGTGAATAGGCCAGCTAGTATGAAATTTTATCATGTGGTTTCTTTGTTATAGTTGATATTTAACTTCCCTGTAGCAGTAGCTACAGAAACACAATCAAGATTTTCAGATAGTTGAAACATACTGTGGCATGTAGACCCATTGCTAGGCAAAAACCACGAAATAAGCAGCTATACAACAGCTGTTGCTAGTTAATGACTATGTAAACAACAGCTGTTGTTACGTAATGGCAGCAAAAGATTCATAGCATGCAACAATGGAGTAACTGGGAAGCTGTGTTTTCTATGTGGTCCATGTGATAGCTACGTGATGCAACAATAAGAAGGCTGTACTTCTTTTGGCTTATTTTGGACTTCATCCATCATCTGGTATGTAAAAGACAAAAGACCACGACGTTTCGGAGACTGGATCTGTCTCCGTCTTCAGGTGGGTAGGGAAGGATAAACCTACTCACTTGGGCCCGTTAGAAAGAGCTCTTTCTAACGTCACCAGAGCTCCACCTGAAGACGGAGACAGATCTAGTCTCCGAAACGTCGTGGTCTTTTGTCTTTTACATACCAGACGATGGATGAAGTCCAAAATAAGCCAAAAGAAGTACAGTATACACCATTGTAAGAATCCTTTCAAGTCTAACCAATAGGAGGGCTGTTGGAAAAGTTATTTTCTGTGCGGTCTGTGCTACAGTTATATCACAAGGAGCAGCTGCGATTACAAGAGAGTGACTGTGCTGGCTGATTGCCAGCTGTAAGCTTCTGCTCTGCTCTGCTCTGTTACAAGAGAGCTGTGAGACAGCAGTTAGAAGAGTAGGAGGTTGGTTCGAGATGGCCACGAGCCTGTGAGGATGTGAGCCTGGGAACAGGTGAACGTCCACTAGTTAAAACACAGCAGGCTGAGAGACTTAGTGCACTGCAGTGTGTGTGAATTGGCAATTTTGTAGTTATGATATTTTAGTGTTCAGTAAATCCATTTGTCAATCTTAAACCCTGTCTATAGCCACTCAGTCATATGACAGTACAGATAATATAATATCAATATAGAGAATATATTGTAACCCTTCTTCATATATGATGAGCACTATACAAGTATGTGTGTGTAAGTGTGCAGACCAATTATAATTATAAATACAGTGTGTTAAAAGATCTGAAAATTCTGTTCTAATAGCAAAAACATTAGATAATATGAATTCTGTCCATGACAGGTTTAATTTTAACTCATGTAAGAACCTGGTCATTTAGGCTTCACTCACCTTCTGGGTGGATATCGGTATATATCCACAAATTCCTGAGCTTTGGACACAATAGCAGTTGATGGCTTCAGAGTGGGTCGGGAACGGCTGTAACAAGTTGAATTTGTGAATTGCATTTATCTGTTATTATGGAGTATTTATTATTTAACTGAAGTAACAGTTGATGATAGCTGATAATATTATCAACATTTATGTATTATATTTAACACAATTAAGCAATTTTTATAATCAGCATTACATAATAAGGAACATCACAGAATTAGTTTTGAAGCTATTGGATACAGCAAATCATACACAAAATCCATTACAGTTTCCAATTGAAAGAACACTGATGTGGCTATAATGTGGAAATTATCATCAAATTTAATATTGTATCTGTGAAGATATCATGCTCTCCATCAAGCATAAGTATCATGGTAGAGTATTCTGTTGTTCCTATTTTTAGCCTTCATGGTCAAATTACTGGAAGGGAGTATGTGGACAAGTTGGGTAATCAGGTGCATCCCATGATCCAGACGCTATTTCTGAACAAGGGAGCAATTGTCTCCATTCACATGGCTGGAACAGTTCCGTCATGGTTTGAAGAGCATGAACACGAACTGCAGCATCTTACATGGACAGCACAGTCACCAAATTTGAACATCATTGAAACACTCTGGTCCATTTTAGAGACTGGAGCGAGGAACAGAATCCCATCTCTTAATATCTCTAAAGCAACTTGAGGATGCTCTTCAAGAATGGTATAAAATTTCATTAGAGACTGTTCAAAACTTGTATGAGCCCCTTCTGAGATGGATTTCAGCTGTATTGAAGGCAAAAGTTGGTCCAACACCATATTAATAAAGAAATGTATATAGTATCCATAGTATTTCCATTATTTTGTTCAACCCTTATATATTTTGGGGAGTAAAATTTGAAAGGAGGTCATGAGTGATGACCATGGCTCAAATTCTACTGCATCATGCATGTTGTGTAAAGTTTAAAAGACGAGGGACTGAGCAGTATGCAGCCCAGTGATATTTTTTCATCATTTATTTATTAGTGTTCTATTTATTGGTGCTTTCAATAGCTCAGATTATATAGCACTGAGTAATGGGATGTTTGGTGAATACTGTAATGAATTTGAAAGGATGTGAAAGATGGAATCACGGAATAAATTAAGCTACACTGATGGCATTGTCCTAGAGGAACTGAGGCAACCACTATGAAATCTCAGTCAGGATAGCCAGTCAAGGTTCAAGAATACAAGGCAGAAATGCTGCCATTTGACAATGACATTCAATTTCCAGTGATATTTAACCTGAGATTTTACATGAGAAAATTCTCCAACACTGCTGAAGCCACTTCCATCACTTACCCTTAACCCTCAACCAAGATATCATTGTATAATTCATCACCTTACACCCATCAGAGACTGCCAAACCACATGAAGATGAATGGCATGGAGGGGATGAACACAACCATCGTCATTGTCATTAATGTCATGATTATCGTCATGGACTTCACCTCTCAGTTGTCTTCAAGTTATTACATGTTTCTTGAATTTAGTGAAGGAAAAGGCAATTTGTTTAATGAATGACTGTGGTTCCCTTAATCCCAAATTTCACAAGAAGTCTTGGTGGTATCAATTGTGCTGTTCTTTTAGGAACATGACCATTTCATTTCATTTATTTCGTATCCATGGATCATTATACATGATATAAGACATGTTATTCTTGTGTAGTTATAGTATAATAAGTTTCATGATGTTACTATTGGGGGACCAACTCAGCATTTGCTCTGGGACCAAGGAAAACCACGGAAAACCTTGATCAAATTGGCCGGTCACAAGACCTCCCATAATGGTGTATAGAGTAGAAATAAGAAAATCAGTGTTTTAATGACTGATCCTGGCACAAAATATTAAGATTAAGAGTCTTCTGGAATGTGTCACCATGTAGCTTTCAGACAGGAGCCAACATTCTGGAGGAAACTGTTTACAAGTCCACACAGCATGACACCTCAGAAAACCACAATCTTGAATGTGATTTATTGAGGTTTGACATGGGCTTCCTTGAGCAGTTTGTGAGGAGTACCTATTCTTTGTATTGCCAATTACACTGGGATTAATCTGTTCAAGTTAAAGTACTCAATAAAATGTCTCATAAAATATCATAAAAACTCTCAAATTTTTGGGAAACTTCGGACATAAATGTAACACTGATGTAGGTAAGCGGGCATTTGTGTGTGTTTGTGTGCATGCGCGCGCGCGCATGTGTGTGCAAGGGTGCATGTTTGGTTTTATGAAAACAAGAATGCCATAATTTTTCCTTGGCTTGGAAATTCTGAATTGGATTAGAGTTTTATATTTTGCACAGGAGCTATGATTTGAGGCTATCACAAACAATGCAGCTGTTGTTAATGTAGCAGGATATTACTGTAGCATTGTACAAGGGCCATTTTGGATTATAAATTTCATCTCTCATATAAGAGTAATCCATGGTAAAGATTGCAATTTTGCTGGAAATTGTGTTCACGGATCAAGATCATTTTCAACCATAATGCATGTGTTCAACTAAGTATATGTTTTTATTTTCCCTGGCTTAGCATTTTAATGTTACTGTATAAGCGGTTTCGTATGTATGCAAATAAATTGTCAATATCGACAATACAAAACGCACATGTGAAGTAAACTGTGTTTTGAGTTGTGTATACAAGGTGACAGATGGCCAACTGTATTTATAATCTGGTTAAGTGCATGACAGTACATATTGTACGTTTTATTGTGTAGGTTATCTATTTGTGACTGGTTCTATATCCGTCAGGCCTACTCTGTAGCCTCGATTGGATCGATGGAATTTTACGGTAGATAAATGAATGAACGGTCCGATAGGTTAACTTTGGTTACATCAATACTGAAAATGCAGACAGCAGGTTTCTCAGGAACTTTGGTAACTGCGCACGAGATTTTACGATTCTACCCTGAATACTACACTTTAAATGTTGGTTTGGAGGCAAAGCATATCGTTTGGTGTGTTGTTAATTCAACTGTACAGTACACAATTTCAAATTGTGGATATGATATACAACATGATTTTTTGTACGCTCGGTCGAAATAAGCCTCCACAATGACAGAATACTGATCATTTTCCGCCAAGGGACTCATTCAGCCTAACGTAGAAATGGGCCCGAGCGAGGGTGTGATCATTCGTATTGCGCGCCATGTAGAAATGAAGTCTGTGGCTGTCAATGTGGAGTGGTGTGAATATGAGAACGATGTCGCGCGAAAGTTTCGTGGAGAAGTCTCTTATTAGCTCGATAGCCTCGAAAGCGCTCGATAGTGAGTATTTTGCGTGCGGGAAATATGTGCCAAATGCGAAAATTAGGAAGTTTTCGTAATATTTTAGATTGCTTATAGACGATGGCAGTTTTTGGAGATGCTTCAGGGTGAGTTCAGATTTATTTAAGTACACTTCAAAGTTAATTTTCACCAATTACGAAGCAAAGTACAAATTTCCGAAAATCTGCTAGCTCGAAGAACCATTGATGGTGACACAGAAGTAAAACAAGAACTTCATAAAGTAATTTATTTTATACTGTTTAATATTACTATAAAATAAATATGCCTCTGACATTAAGGGAGGAAGATAGACTCAGGGTGTTGAGGGGAATATTTGGACCAAAGAGAGATGAAGTGTCAGGAGGATGGAGAAAACTGCATAATGAGGAACTTAGTAACTTGTACTCTTCACCAAGTATAATTAGAATGATCAAGTCAAGGAGGATGAGGTGGGCAGGGCATGTAGCACGAAGGAGCGAGAAGAGGAATGCATATATGATATTTGTGGGAAAACCAGAAGGAAAGAGACCACTGGGAAGACCAAGGCTTAGGTGGGTGGACAATATTAAAATAGATCTTCGAGAGATAAGATGGGATGGGATGGGATTGATTGGATTGATCTGGGTCAGGATAGGGACAGTGGAGGGCTCTTGTGAACACAGTAATGAACCTTCAGGTTTCATAAAAGGTTGGGAAATTCTTGAGTAGCTGCAGAATTGGCAGCTCCTCAAGAAGGACTCAGCTCCATGAGTAAGCAAGTATAAAATATATATATTACATGAGGTAATAATGATGCAACTTAAATCTATTTGTAAAGTAACGAAATTGTTTACTGATGGTAAAATGCGAGGAAAATAGTGCTTAATATTCCATGATAAAGTATAGAATGCTGGACAAATAAATATCCTTAAAAATAATAACAAAAGAAATAACCACGAAAATCACACAACTGTCACAACAGAAAGTTTATAGAAATGTTTGTGGTTGCTTTCTCTTGGACTTAATCATCCATCATTGCGATTAAAGACTTGAATTGGAGGTGAATTAGTGAAAAAACAGACTTGAATTGGAGGTGAATTAGTGAAAAAACACAGGTCTTCCCAATTGTTCCCTTCGTTGTTGCTAACAGAATCTACTTCGCTGATATTTGTCTGATTCGTACATTATCTTTGTTACCTACACACATCAATTTTGACTTTCATGTGCTGGCACTTTTAAAATCTTCAGTTCCAATTTTAAAAAATTCCTTTCAAATTTTTTCAAATTTTAAAATTTAAAATTCTCATGGTTACTCGCCCTATGTCTGTAGTGCTGCAGCGGTTACTTCTTGTTTTCAGCACTGTACAGGTGTTATTCTGTGTAGGCTCCCTGTGTGCATGCCGCTGCTTATCTTTATTACGTGTGCTACCTGTGTTTTTAAATTTTGAACGAAGTGCAGTGTAACAGCTACTGAGTGTATACACCTGATGATGGCCGTTTGTGGCCGAAACATGTAGCGTAGAAGAAAGCAAGACGAAAGACCTACAATAAATTGTTGCACTTAGGACAGAATTTATATCATATATCGTATAGAGTGCAGCAGGATGCTTAAATATAATATTGGTTTAATTACATGAAAATAATTGTCAAAGACAGCACCCTAAATGATTGGGTAATAAACAGTGAATATATCATACTTAATTATAGTGTGTAAATATAATAATATTTAATAAATGATAAAGAGATCTCAAAATTATTCTGTTATTAATTTGTACATATGAAGAAGTCATATTCAGCAGCCACTTCCTTCCACATTTTCAATTTAAGTTCTCTATCTTGGTAGTTTCTGTCACCTTTTTCCTATATACTTGGCCTTACATGCACCACATTAACTAGTGTTTCACAATCTAAACACGTTATAACATAGAAAATGTTCAACCGAAGTGCAGGGGCAGAGAGTGGTGTTCAGCAGATTCTGTCGACTGGCCAGTAAAAACAAACATCCACCAGCCACCCTGATAGTGAAGGGTCCATTTGGCTCAGTGTGAATTCTTCCATTTTATAGAATATATTTGAACTGAACCAATTTGGTTCAGGTTGGTGTGCAGTGTGAATGAGTTGATGTTGGTGATAAGAAGTCTTGTTTAACATAGGGCTTATGTTCTTGAATTATATTTTGGATAACCAAATCATGTTGCACAATGGTTTGGTCTCATGGGAAGTAAGGGGTAAGCAAAATCGTCTTTGAAACATATACTAAAGCTTAAGGTTAAGAATAAACAAGTATACATTGTACGCATGCCCTGTGAGGCAGCTTTCATTAATGCTTACTATATGTACACAGAAACATTAGATATTAATGTAACATGGTAACTATGAAAAAAGTAATACGAAGTAAGTTAGTACTGTATGGCTATTGGCTATACTGCTCCTTAAATTTGGTCTGTGAGCCTAAGCATGGACTGATAATGTTGTAACTCAAAATAGAGGGCTGCTTCATCTGCCATTGTAAGTCATTCTGTACTTTAGAGGCAGCAATAAACTATCTTGAATTTTTACTCCTCTCCATGAAAGGGTCTGTTTCAACTAGAATTCAGCAGTATTTGTGGCCATTTGCAAAGTTCTGTTTATCACTGTCAGAGTTGTCAAGAGTGAAGATTAGCGTCTTTGTCTGCGCATGTGCGCATAACTCATGGCTAACTGAAACCCCACTCTGTATATTATAAAACGGATATCTAAAGATAATTCTTGTACAAGTAAAACCATGTTAACAAAAACTGTGTTAAACAAGGAAGTACTATACTTTCTCATGTTCCAGCACATACATACAAGGCCGAAGCCACTGGATACAGAACCTGTCACACCACGAGCTTGCTGAATCAGCAAGTAGTCAACAGAACAGTGCATAGAAATACACAACAATAAATCAAGCATATGAAACGCTACACATCGCTGCAACTACATAACCTACCATGTATATATAAAATATAACACAAAATTGGAACATATATATGACAATAGATAAAATAATGCATAAATTCATATATGCTCGATGTTCTTTCTGTAGGATATGGATAAGTTTGTCTTAGAGCTATTCAAATTCTCACACTTGATGTTATTAGGATCCATTTCAGTATTGTCCTTCCATCTGGATCTCATGCATTTCGTGTCTCTCCTATATGTTCCACAGTGAACTAGCTGTTACTACATGCCTCAGTGTTGCTCTGGTAATATAAAAAAAATTTAAATTATAATTTTACCTGACAGAGGCCGGTGTACCACGGTTGACATTTGGTTCTGCCCCACTAGCTGTGGTGTATGAAGGATCTCCACGAGTCCTTCCAGTATTGCTGCCTCTGTGGACAGTCCAAAGGAGTAAAAATAATCAGAGAGGACATATGCATACCCTGACATTGTACATATTTTTTGTTCTGGTCCTTTGATTGCTTTCAAGTTTATATACACATTAAATGCAATATTTCATTTATTTTCTGCAGATTTTAAAAATTTCCATGTACATGTATTGCACACCACAAATATAGCCAAATTCTTTACCTCACATTTATTGTTTGAGAGCATCATAGATTGTCTTCTTCAGTGTGGTTTAAGTGGGAATCTCATTTACCAGAGAATTATTATTCCTGGGGTACTCTGCAAGCTTTTGGTGGTGGCAGTACAGAACACATTCATGGTATTATTTTGTGTACAAGAATAAACACTGCAATATAATGACATATATATGGAGACAGAATGAAAATGTAATTTTGTATGGATTTATTAAAAGTCAGAGATCAACCTTCTGAGATTGCAGGTTTTAATGAATTATGTAAATGTAGGAGTACACTTTTCAAACCTAGAATCCATGCATCACAGATGAATAGTAAACACTGTTCATTGAACAGAGTGTTCAATGTTTTTCTTTCATTCTTCTATGTTCTTGGATAAGTTATCTTCGTAACAAGTATTTTCTTTTATTAATTTCATGGTATGTGGCATTATGTTGAGCATTAAGGTGTGATCATCTAGGTTATGACATTGTACAATAGAAATCTAGGCTGAAGATAGAGGTGGCAGGTTTCTTCGAAACAATAGTAAACGTGTAAAATCTGTCACAACTCAGAAAATCATGATCTTAATTGTCAGTACTGTGAAATTCTCAAGCCTTGTCAAGGTTATATTTACTTCAAAGTTATGCCGATTTTTCTGTTTTACTCCCTATTGATTTACTTATTGCTCCTTACTGTAGTGAGTAGATTGTAAATTCGCAGAGAAATAAAAAAAAACTCCCTATTGTTCACTTACTGTCACTGACTTAACTTCTACTTACACCAATTTCATTTTAACTTTTCAGTCACATTAGTCCATTATTTTTTTTGTTTTTTATTTATATGAAACAAATTTTTATAATTTTTTTTTCATTTATAATGGAAATTTAATGACTATAAACATATTTGCAAATATGTACATAAACGAAGATGTACTGAGGGATTTGTTATAGAATGAAATGCTGTCAGTAGTGTAAATACATATGCAAAAATATTTCCTTGAAGTAACATGTTTAATCTACATTTAGATTCCAATTTTAAGACAATCTGAATTCCAAATACTGAACCATAACATTAAAGATAGAAGGTTTACAGTTTGTTTTATTGAATGCCCTTTTGTTACACAATAATAATGAAACCATTTACAAATCCTAACAATGCACAATAATTTTATACAATCGTAAATAATATAAGAAATGTTTCGAACACCTGTGCTTCTACTAGCAAGCTTGGAAAATGTCAACATGCAGAATTAAGCATAAGTTCACCTTACTCTTTGTTTCATCTGCCCAGAAATGGAAGAAAGACTCAGTAAGTAAAGTAGGTAATCTCAGTAGTAGGAACATTTATGTGAAATCAGTGAAATATAAAAATTATGCATAATAAATGCAACATGTATGAACCTCTGCACGATCCTCAGCTGTCAAGCATTTACTGAATAACTAGGGCAGTGAAATCTTTGGTGTTGTGCTTTTGTACTCATTCCATCAGGCTTCGTGCTTATAAATGAGGTGTTAATTCTGCAATCTAGTGGCCAAGTACATGCAACTGTGACAATGAATGACATGACATGAATGAAAGTGTCACTGGTGGCAGTATATGGTAAGAACTGTGAGGTATCTTGTGTTTTGTGGGAGTGACAGTCTCTCTGCTGACAATTTCTATATCAAATGGTCATGTACCTGAGTGGACCGATGAATGCTAATAAATACAATACAGTACAATATATACATAAAATACTTCACTGTTTAGTATAAAGTTGTATGTACAACACAACACCTTGTTCAGTTCCCATACAGCAGCAACTGTCATGTTATGTTTTTTTTATTTCTATCATTATATGTATAACCATTCATATATAAATTTAAAGCAACCTTTATATAATATTAACAGGTTTAAAATAAATTATATTTTTCATTTTTAAACACTTGAAGCGTTTAAGAGGCACTATCTTAATCTGTTGTTCATACCATGTACAGCACTTTAAGTCAGTGGTCAATTCTGACCATAATTTAAGTTATATTTAGAGTGTTAATAGCTGAAGCACTTAAAGATGCTTTCTTTAACTCTGTTGACAGAAAAATGATTCTCTAAAGGATTATGGCTTTTGGTTGATTTATTACACTATGATTATGCAGACATTATTCAGTGCCTGACTTACATTTGGTGTACAAAGCATTCTAGAAGTTGGCTTTGTCCTGAGTTCAGTTGTCATTATTCTGACAGATACTTTCATGGTTTTCTTTTTCATTACCAGTTTTAGTGGCAGTGGTTTAGATTAAACCTGAAGTTCTTTTAATATTGAGCTTGTTTTTCAATTGCTAGTCAGCTAAAAGGTTAGTGGTTACTGGGTAACGTAATTCTACTGTGCTGAAATACGATTGTCCAGTATCTGTACCGTGGTTTATTCGATAATTTAGATAGTTTATGCTGCTGTATCAAGTGTTTGAGTTAATAAAAGGATGATCTGGGAGGGATGTGGAAAGAAGCATTCTTTGGATAATTCTCTCTTGTCATTAACCTGGAGAAATTGTTGAAAACCATAAAAATTTCAGTCAGGAGTTCCAGTTCCCAGCTGAGATTCGAACTGGGCACTTCATGAAATCATTTGAGAATATGTTTTATTTATATATACCATTGTTCAGGAATTATAACATTTATTAGCATTTCCAGTGTTTGAACTTCTGTTAACAGTAGTCTCTTCTGGCTCTAATTCTAACAGTTTTTTGCCATATGAACTGGTATTTATGACAGTCTGGAATGAATAGCTGAATTATACAGAGACTTTTAGGAATTTTTTTAAATGCATGGAATTTTGTCTTAATATCCCTCTCTTAAGTTTAATCATTTTGTCTGTTTTTGGCCAACATTGATGCCGAATTATCCCATTAATATGCAGTTCACTGTCAAATCATACGTTTAAATAAGAAACCAAAAGTATTTTAAGATGATTCCTTCTTCATGTGTATATCATTCATACTAAATCTTTTTCTGACCCTTTGCCTCATATTTCATAAGAATGATCACATGCATATTACAGTCATCATTAAACACAAAATTAATGTTGGCCTATTAAATTTTGTATCGTAATTAACTTTCCTTGTCTGATTTCATACAGCCAAAGTTTTATTGAGATGTTGCTTGTTGGATTGTGATCAGTAATATGTGTTCCATTACCAGGATATCTGGTAAAGCCCTGTAGTGCAATCTGTGTTAGGTGCCAGGGGTTGATATACAAGATATTTACAGATGGAAATATAATAACCAGTTTTACACCATGCAAAAGCAAAAGCAAAGCTATCCCTGTAACAGTCTGTGAAGGCTCATAGGGTTGTGAGAAGTTGAGGGTCCCACATTATCTAGACGATCGGCTCAGAGATGGCGGTAAGGTTGTCAGCCTTACGCGCCAGCTGTGCTTTACTCCCCAGGAAAATTATTTAATTAATTCCTGGTACTCATTTCTGTTAGAGGCTGAGTTAACCCCAGGTCCATAGTGCGGCTGGAAGGATTGACAATTAAAAATTTTAAGATTATCTAATTAATTTATGATAGCCTGTTTAAAATATTACATCAAATGTTTGTTACACTATCAGTTCAAATTTACAGTTCTGTCTTCTCAATAGAATTATCGAAATACATTTGTCAGCAACAAATTATTCCTTCAGTTCACTGCTGGAAGACTAGATTGTCTCTTATGTCTAACATGGATATGATAAGTTCATTTGTGAGCATGTTGCTTGAAGTGCAGAAAGAAAAGAAAGGAAATTTTAGAGTAGACTAATATTTGTCAACATTAGGTGAAATGTTGACCAATTAAACAGGATGACTGCAGTGTTAAAACAGAAGTGAGATCCATGATACATCACTTCCAAGTGTGGTTTTCTTAGTCACCACTGCAGACGCCCAACACCTAAGCTCTTTTAGTTTTGTTATTGTTGCGATGGAATCTATTTTAGAATGTCATACCATACTAGGGGAAGTTTTAGGTGTATAAGCCCAGTGGTAGATATGTGGAATTTCACTAATCATGATGATCTGGTCTGTGAATTGTTGTATGTTTGCTGTTGAGAGTTTCTCTTGAGCAGTCTGTTATGTAGATGGAAATAATTTTTGGGCTACAATTTCCTTTACCAAGGATAAGAAAACTCTAAAATATGATACATTTTTAAAGATGGTGATTGATTTTTGTGTTTGTGGAACTTCAGTATTTGTCAGTAGTGCATGTTCAGTTTGCACACTGGAGAATACCGCAAGAGAAGTGCAACAGAGTCACTCCTGTTCAGCTATGTGTTATTTTTTGGCCTTAGAAATTTCAAACACAACTATCCAATGAATTTTATGCAAGAATTTAATTTACTGTCCTTACAGTATTTAGATTACTGATTGAAATGAAATGGGGTGTTTTAGCTTTAATTTTTCAAGATTTTAGATAATGATGCAAGTATGCTAATTTTATTCATAATTTCTGGTGCTTGTAGTGGATACATGATCAAAACAAATTTCTGGTACTTGGTTGAAGGGCATCCTATGAAGCTGTATGTACAGTAATTGGAATTTTCCCTTGTCTGAGCATATCAAATTCTAGCCTAAAAATTATTTTCATATGAAAAATAAAAAATGTTCAGAAGTGTTTAAACAATTAATATGCATTGATTCATGGTTACTAAAGCTGCATATACTCAAGAAGTGGGCTCGTACACATCTAGCTTCTGCTTCACTTCAATTCCTACAGCAGCAAATTCTAAAATCTAAAACTTGTTTTCATATAATTTTCTTTCAATTTCCAAAAAGGAAGGACTCAGTGTGGGTGC